TGGGGCAGCTCGTGGGGTCTTTCGTATTCCACAATCCGCCCAGCCTGCAGCACCATCACCCTGGCAGCAGGGAACGAGAAGGCGTGAGCTCCCGGGGTCCGAGCCGATAGCACTGCTGGCACCAGCGCTACGGCCCCACCGACCATTGCTCCTCCTGCGGCCGTGTTATGTGGTTCACCTCTCAGCACAGAGGTGAGGGCACAGCTCTTCTCCCCGTACTGGTGGGGTGACACACTTAAGGTGTCGACAGCTCCTCTGTGGCCTGTTGCTGTGAAGAAGGATCCCCCAAAACACCTCTCCCCACAAAAGCATAACCGCCGCACGGCCATCCTTCCCACCCTTCCATTCTTCTCTCCTAGAAGCTCTGTATGTTGCTGTCCCAGGCACTACATCCACCGCTGCCCCTCTGGCTGCATCCTTGCTTCTGCTGCTGGCCACCTCTCGCCCCGTCCTAGGAGTCCAGAACCCTACTCCCTCTTGCCCCATGGTACCTGCTGCTGTCCATGATGGTGTGGAGGCGGTGGGCGATGGTAAGCACAGTGCAGTCAGCAAACTCGCTCCGGATCGTTGTCTGGATTAAATGATCTGTTTCCAGATCTACAGCTGCTGTTGCTTCATCCAGGATGAGAATCTTGGCTTTGTGGAGCAGGGCCCGGGCCAGGCACACCAGCTGCCTCTGCCCCACGCTGGGATGAAGTGGGGAACCAGAGTTACCAGGCAGACACCAACATGCCACATGCTGCCCTGACCCCAACGCCCTGCCTGCCCAGCCCTCCCTGGCCTTCCCCCAGCTAAGCATCGGCCAGCCGAAGCACCACGTCCCTCAGCATCTTGCTCTCTGGGCCACCATGGAAGGGCTGGCTCACACTGGTTCCCTGACAGCTCTCACTCCTGGACCGTTTTCTCCCACCTCCACTCCCAGAAGCTTCTGTGTCCTTGTCCCTGGACAGCCACTCTGCTGGAGGCTGCTGTTCGAGGCTGGTCCCTGGGACCAGGGGAAAGGAGGGGAGCTGGGCATGCCTCCGCTCCTCTGCTCACCTCAGGTTCTCCCCTCCCTCGCTCACAACATGCAGCAGCCCCTCGGGAAGGTCTTGCACATATGTCTTCAAGTGCGCCAGCTCGAGGGCCTTCCAGACCTCCTCATCTGCGTACTGGTCGAAGGGGTCCAGGTTCATCCGCAGGGTTCCAGTAAAGAGCACAGGATCCTGCCAGGGACAGCATCATGTTCAGCCACACCACGGCCATTCAGCAGGGGTGGTGGCTGCAGGCCCCCGAGTTTGGCCACATCCTGGCCACCCTGCTGCCTGCAGCTGGGCAGGGGAGGTGGTGATGGCACGCTCACAGGCTCCTGGAGTCTCTGTGGCACCCAGGGATGCACTATGGGCGATGCATCGCCCAGGGAACAGAGCCCGGGGAGGCTGTGCAGCAGTAGGACGTGGAAAGGTGAGGATCAGCAAACCTGGGGGATGATGGTGAGGTTCTGGCGCAGGTCATGGAGGCCAATTGTCGCTATATCCACCTCATCAATCATGATCGTCCCTCCAGCAGCCTCCAGCACGCGGAAGAGGCAGTTGGTGAGAGAGGATTTTCCAGCCCCAGTCCGGCCCACAACCCCAACCTGTAGAAGCAGCTATTTAGACCAGCTGACAAGGCAGATGCTCTCTGTCTTCGTCTGGTGGGTCTTCCTGCCCTGCATCTGCAATCGCCGTGTCCCAGACTGTCTGCTTCAGTTCATGCCCTGCAGCTCGAGACCCCAGGACCCACCTCCTGTGTCCCTCCGCAGCCCACAGACCGAAGCCAGGAGGACAGAAACAACTTTAACACAGTGTCGCTCTGGCAAGAGTGTAGTGAGGGCAGATGCAGAGACGTCCTCACCTTCTCGGTGCTCCCAATATTGCAGGTGATCCCCTGAAGAACCAGCTCCAATTCAGGTCGGTAACGAACTTTGTAGTCAACAAACTGGATCTCGCCTTTGCTGGGCCAGCCATGGGGTGGACGCTTTTCTGTCACCCATGGAGCCTGGGGGCACAGGAGCGTTAGGGGGGTTGCACCATGCGACACTGGGTAGCACCAAGCTGTGCAGCAGGTGTTTGCCTGGACCCTGGTCTCCTCACCTCGTTCTTCACCTTCGTGTACTCGTGTACCCGCTCCACAGCCACAATGTTCGTCTCCAGCTCCGAAGACGTCCGCACCAACCAGTTCAGTGTCTGGGTCACCTGCACAGCAGAGCCGCAGGGTGCAGAGC